CCCCATCTATTTGGCAGAAAGTGAAGAGGAACTAAAGAGCCTCTTGATGCGGGTGGAGGAGGAGAGCGCAAAAGTTGGCTTGAAATTCAACATTAAGAAAACTAAGATCATGGCATCCGATCCTCTCACTTCCTGGCAAATAGATGGGGAAGAAAAGGAGGTAGTGACAGATTTTATTTTCCTGGGCTCCAAGATCACCGCAGATGGGGACTGCAGCCAAGAAATTAAAAGACGCTTGCTCCTGGGGAGGAAATCTACGGCAAATCTAGACAGCATACTAAAAAGCAGAGACATCACCCTGCCAACAAAAGTGCTTATAATCAAGGCTATGGCTTTCCCAGTTGCAATGTATGGCTGTGAAAGCTGGACCATAAGGAAGGCTGAGCGCCAAAGGATTGAGGCCTTTGGATTGTGGTGCTGGAGGAGACTCCTGCGAGTCCCTTGGACCGCAAGGCGATCGAACCGGTCAGTCCTAGAGGAGATCAACCCTGACTGCTCTTTAGAAGGCCAGGGACTGAAGATGAAGCTCAAATACTTTGGCCACCTAATGAGAAGGAAGGACTCCCTGGAGAAGAGCCTGATGCTGGGAACGATTGACGGCAAAAGGAGAAGGGGACGGCAGAGGATGAGGTGGCTGGATGGAGTCACTGGGGTGGCGGGTGTGGGCTTGGGTGGACCAGGGGATGGTAGAGGACAAGAAGGCCTGGAGGAATGTTGTCCATGGGGTCGCGATGGGTTGGACACGTCTTCGCGACTAACAACAACAACGAATTTGTAAATACTGTCAAATGCAATATACATGTCCAAATGGCAAAACACATCCTGGTATTGCGTAAAATGTGTTCTGCAGCCATCAAAGATCCTTCGTGGATCTCGGTGAAGAGGGCTGTACAGATGGAAGCACAAGCAGCTTGGCCGGCCGCCGTGCTCCAGAGGTCCTCTCTCTGCAGGCTCGACAACACCAGCCCCTTGCAAGGCACCTCCCTGCCCACAACACCTCTCAGGAAATGAACGCAGAAGCCGTGGCATCCCCGAATCACTCAGTAACTTCATTTGTAAATGAGCTAAAGATCCAGAGAAAAAATTGGCCCGTCTCTTGCAAGAGCACCATATTTTTCTAGCGGCCCAGTGCTGATGACCGCAACGGCATGTTGGCAGAAGCTGTTCGGTTGCGAAACCGTGCCCAGCAGGCCTTTTGGAGCAGGCCCCTCACAGAATGCATTGCCTATGGACGGATGGGAAAATGTGAGAAAAGGAGGAATCATAAACTTCGTACCTCAGCCAGTTCTTCACCTCCTTCGTGTCACGCAGGCCAGGCCTCTGTTGTCCACGTTCTCCTTTTTATGCATTTATATCCTTTCTATACGTCATTATCACGCCTGCTCCTTTTACATGTTTATGGCACATCTGTTATCTTTCTTTGAAATTAAAAGGGAGACAAGAAGGAGGTGTGCGACAGCGCTTGCCCTGCCTGCCCTCCAGCCCGGTGTTGTGGGCTGTGCTGAAGCTGAATTCAAGGCATATTATTATCATTATCATTATCATTATCATTATTATTATTATTATTATTATTATAACATTTCTATGCCGCCCCTTGCCGAAACCTCGGGGCGGCTTACAACACAATAAAATACATTGAAATACAATAGAACCTAATAAATTACCATTAAATACAAAAATACAAAAAATACACTGAGTTACAAATATAAAATTAAAATTATCAGTATAAAATAAGTAAATCGAAATATAGGAGGAGAAAAGAGAAGGAAAAAGAAGTTGCCCTGGCCAGATCATATGTTTTAACAATTAAAATGATGTTTAAATAAAAAGGCACGTTATGAGCATTCTGCGGTTTTTCCAGAAACTTTCAAAGGATTCCGCAGGAACAAGGAAATCTGTCGTGGAAAACAAGCAGCCAGTCCACCATCACTGGGGACGGCCTACTATATTCTGGGCTGGCCGTGGAGGAATGTTCAAAAGAACCCTTCCGAAATCTATGAAAGAAGGAATGGGCACATGCTCAAAATGACCTCCGGCCACCCACACCCCCCCCCCCCCGCCAGTGCCAGCAAGAGGTGGGCCTGGTTGGTGGAGGCCAGGGCCTCAGCAGAGGAAAAATGGAAATCAAAGCTGAAAAGCCGGAAAATCAAATCAAAGGCAACAGGTGACATGGATGGAAACTCTTACCTGAGTCTCCTTCACCTCTAGGTCACCCCCCCCCCCAAAAAAAAGGGTCCTGGAAAACACCCAGCTGTGAAAGATCTTAAAATACCCCAGCCCTTTCGCAGGTGGGTGCCCTCACCTGCTCCTGCCAGGTATTGATCCCATTATCAAGGCCAGGTGTGCTCGCTCCCACATCGCTGCCGGCTCCACAATCGTCCTCCTCCGGAGCCTTGGGTATAAAAGGGTGGCAGCTGCTCCAGGCTGTCCTGCTGAATGTCCTGTGAAGTCAGGAGCATGACTTTCTTTTTGGTGTTGTCCTGTCTTGTTGTCCTCAGCGCTGCGCAGGAGCCGAGTGAGTATCCGAGAGCCCGCGGATTCCTGCCCTCCCTCAGCCGAGCGCAAGCGCTTGGAAAGAGCTGAGAATCAGGCCCGGCTCCAGGGCTTGTTTTCCTGCCGGTGTGGTGTCATGGTGAGGAGCCCGGCGCTGGGGTCTAGTCCCTGCTCCGCCGTGGGGCCAACGGTGTGACTCTGGGCCAGTCGCAGTCCCTCAGCCCACCCCACCGCACATGGTTGTTGTTGGGGGGATAAGATAGAGAACAGTGGGGGGAGAACAGTGTAAGCCGCTTTGCGTTCATAAGCCAAAAGTGGGGTATAAATCTAATAAATAAAGGAATACTGCAGCTGGGCCAGGCTAAGGCTGAGGCTCGGGGAAACGGCGTGCAGCCGAGTCGGAAGGCAGACCACAAAGAGAAGCGAAGCGAAGCTCAGGGTGCTGGCCAAGCAGGCAGAGTCTGGTGCCGCGGCAGCGTCCGGTGGTCCCACCCAGCAAGCCGATCCAAGGAGCGGGATCTTCCTAGGCATTCGGCAGTCAGTCAGGAGAAGAACGGAGCTCAAGGAGGCCAAGGCTTTGGGAGTGGGAGGAAAGGTGTTTCAGCAGCCAGCAGCTGTCTAGGGCAAACTGTGTCTATATATGTATTTATTGGATTTCCAGCCGGTCCCATTCAGCTTCAAGTATATTCCCAGCTTCAAGTATATTCAAGTCTCCCTGCCCACACCCAGCTATAGCTGTAAGTAGCCAGTCCTGGCTTCAGGGACCCCCCTACTTCCAAGGAGACCCTTGCCCTTGGATAGAGCTTTCCTCCAGAGAAACCTGGTTGGTGCAGATCCGGAGGAGCACATGTGGCAGTCCTCTTCCTTTGTCGCTTCCAGCATGTGGAACCCCTGCCATCCCCCCCATTGTCAGCGGCTACAGCCGCATCGTCAACGGTGAGGAGGCGGTGCCTGGATCGTGGCCCTGGCAGGTCTCCTTGCAGGTAAGTGCTCTTGGGAAGTGACTGGAAGCCCTTTTGCTCCATGGGTGGGTTTGGAGCTCCTCCCCCAGCATGAACCCTTGAACATATTTGGGGGAGGGGGTGGACCGCCCAGGCTGGTGCGGAATGCGTGGTTCCCCAGTGCCAGGGCTGGCCCCGAACCCCCGTGCTTGGCCGGCTCGGCTGCGTCGCATCTCCCCGTCCGCTGGTCTTTCCGCAGGACAGGACCGGGTGGCATTTCTGCGGAGGGTCTTTGGTCCACAAACAGTGGGTGGTGACGGCTGCCCACTGTGGGGTCACGTGAGTACTCGGCACCTGGAGTGGCTGGGGGGTGAGACCGGGAAGGGAAGTTGCGGGGCGGGGGGGGGGGGCGGCAGTCACACCTGGTCTGGGTGGCAGCTCTGTCTGGGTGCAGCGGAAAAGCAAAAGTTGGCCCAGGACTCACAACGTCCTTTCCCTCACTTCCGGGCACTGTTGCAGCCTCCCTAGAAATTCACGACCACCTTCCTGTGGGACTCAACCTCCAGGTGAAATCTAATTAACCTACAGCATACACAAATTAAAGTGCAATTAAAGCACAATGCTTAAGGAAAGGGACAGCTTCTATCCAGTACTTAAGCAATTACCCCGTTGTTCATTCGTTAATTCGTTTATTTGAAGTATTCAGGTGCTGCCTGACAGCAAAAAGATCCCAAGGAGCAGCTCACATGCAATCAATTCAACAGGGCAGCCGAAAAAGATTCGGCACACAAGGAAAAGGGAACAGGGAGGGAAGAGGGGATGAAATCGATTTTTTCAGCAGTTCTCCTCTGCTTAAAATCCACTTTGTTGTATCTGCTGTGTGAAAACAAAGCAGAGCTCCTTGCAGTTCCTCAACTGCTCTTTTTTGTGAGCTGGGGTTCCTCCTTCACACGTTCCAAAGCCATGGAACTTTCTCCCTGCAAAGTGTTCTTGCTTGACCCAAAGGCACAAACATCCAGACTAACTCTCTGAGCATGCACCGAGCGGTTTGTTGAACCCAATCTAGTATTCATCTCCAGGAACCCTCCTTAGGAGCATGCCTGGGTCCCATCCCTTTTGCTTCCGGCCGAGGGCCTCTTTTCTGATCACTTGCAAGGTCTGGTAAGACGAAGCTGAGCTTTGGAGATGTTCACTTCCCTTTCCTGAAAGGTTGCGCTTGCTTTGCCAGGAGTTCCCACGTGGTTGTGCTTGGTGAACATGACCGCAGCTCCCCCACGGAGAAGACGCAGAGGCTGCAAGTCGAGACGGTGGGTGAAGCGCCCTGGGCAGCTGCGCATTCCCCTCTTGGCAGGCGCTAGTACCAATGCCCCAGAGCGGTAAAAGTTGCAGGCCCCTCGGTTGGTCTGTGTGTGTACAGCAGGGTGGCCCGTTAGGGCAATTTGCCAATTAAAAAGTCTCTGCCACAAGAAGCATTAAAATTCTGCTGCTTGGAAGAAGAGCCCTGCTTAGCTCAAAACGAGGAACTTGGCATTCCCCTGCGGATGTGGGAACTTTCCAGGGCATCTGATGCAATCTGCCGCAGGGATAGCAAGTTAAAATGTGCCGGACATGGGCCATTTGTCCTTTGAACACCAAGCCGTGGCATAGGTTTCTTTCGAAATTCGGTGAAAGGCACGGCTGGGCATGGATCAGGCTCGTCCAGGCAGGGTTCCTTGCACCTGCTGTGTGATGTTTTGAGCGACAGTTAAAAATGAGCAAAGGTGTTCGGCTCTGCAAAAGCCTCCAGCAGTTTTGCTGGACATGCAGCGTTCCACTCTGAAGCTGGGATGCTGCCAGTGCCCCCAAGACTGGCAGGAAATCTTACTGCAGAGTGCTATGCCTGTCCGTTTCCTTATGGACCAGTAACTTTGCCAGGCCAGAATTGATGTTGCCAGGCAGATGCGGATACTAGTGAGAAGAGGACCCTAACCCTTTGCCTACCTCACTGTGCTCCTAATCTGGATCAGACCTCTAATTGAATGTATTATCTTACTTATTTAATTTATTTATTTACTACCATTTATAAATATAACATAATATAATTATTATAATTACTGTGATCTATAATTATAATTCATTACAATATGATTTAGAATTATTATTATTACATTTTGTGGCTGTTGATTACTTTCTTATTTTATTCTTATTATTGCTTTATTGCATTGTTGATTTTATTGTGATTTTGATTGCATGTAATCTGCCCAGAGCGCCTATGGTTAATTAGGCAGCATATAGATCTATTTATTATTTAATAAATAAATACTTTCCACTGCCAAGGAGCGATCCAGATGTAAAGTAAGCCGCATCTCATGAGAAAGCTAAGCTTCAGAGAAGCCGGAACCATCCCAAGCGGGGGTGTCTTGACGCGCCTGTGCGCCTTCCCTGTCTCGCCCACCAGGTCTTCACCCACCCGAACTGGGACCCTGAGACTATCAACAATGACATCGCCCTCATAAAGTTGGCCACCCCTGCCGAGTGGAGCGAAACCGTGTCTCCCGTGTGCCTGACCAAGGCCGTCGACCTGTTCCAGAGCGGGGACCTTTGCGTCACCACTGGCTGGGGCAAGACTCGCTACAACGGTGGGTGCCGCTTTGGCAGAGAGCTGCGCAGGGCCGCTTTGGTTCCCTGAGCGAGGGACGCAGGTGGATCCACGCAGTCACGGCTAAGGTCCTTGCCGCGAAGCCCGCGCAAACTAGAGTTCAGCTCTGGAGACAGAACAGGGGCTGGGAAAGGGAGCAGCTGCCTCCAGCATCCCCCACCGGCCCTCTGCGGGAGCAGGGCGTGGGCAGCAGCTGGGGGTAGAGCCTTTCTTTCAGCCTGGGAGGGAACCTCGCTCGCGCGCCGAGCTGACCAGGGGTAGCTAAGCCTCTCACTGATGCTCCCCTGTCTCCGGCAGCTTTCACCACCCCCAGCAAACTGCAGCAAACGGCTCTGCCCCTGTTGTCCAAAGACCAGTGCAGCCGTGCCTGGCCCGGCAAGATCACGGACGTCATGATCTGCGCCGGTGCAGCCGGATCGTCTTCGTGCATGGTGAGTGAGGGACCTGCCTCCCTTAAGCCCCAGCCGCCCCTCCTCTCCCACCTCCTCCTGCAGGACAGCTGCTGCTGGGTGGTCCCTGCTGAGAAGGCCCTGCTCTTATTTCGGGTCAGGCCACTGGCTCCTTTCGTTCAGAAGTACCTTCTCTGACTGGGAGTTCCTTTGCCGCAGCAGGTCTTGCCTAGTCCTTGCCTAGGGGACGAACTGAGGCATCATTTACAATAATGGTATTTTTAATTTTCGCCAACGACACCAAGCAACACGGAGAATAGGAGCAAAAATCGCTTCAGAACAAATCCTGCACAAGCACGTTCATAACTGGTGTCGGGTGGCGTCCGGCAACAGCAGGGGGTTGGACTCGATGGCCTTCATGGCCCCTTCCAGCTCGACTCTTCTATGATCATGGTGAAACCTCAGTTCTCTCCCCAGACCCACAGCAGGCGGACAGACCCTTCCATTTTTCTTACTGTTGCCCCCACCTCAGACCAGCTGGGCAGCTTCTGAAATTGCACCAAGCTCTGCCAAATCATTTGCCAGATGCAGCTGCAAAAACGGCCTGGGGAAAGTCCAAGAAAGTGCTGAAAGGTGGCCAACGAGCCACTAGGACACCCAGATTCTCGTAGAGAGCCCCAAAGGGGCCGATGCCAGAGCAAAGGGCTTGTGTGCAGAAGGCCCCTTTCCCCCCACATCACCCAACAGGCTGAAATGATAAATGCCTGGAATAGACACTGACTATTTTTGCTGCCATTTGTCAACTGATCCAAGCTTGAGGAGATGTGGGAGAAGCAGATGAAACTGTGCCCTGACTTTCCTTGAATGAGGGAAAAAGCACCCCAGAAGGAGTTTCCTGGTTCTAAAGGGTGGAAGATGAGGAGCAAAAATGACAGAGGGTCTGGTTTTTAGGGGCTACTGCATATTTAGTTAACGGCTTCCAGAGCTCTAGCTGGAATCCCAGACGAATGCTGGGGGTTGTAGGGTATTTCTTCTGTCTTATGTACAGGATTGTGCCTCTAGTCTGTCTGTTCTCAAGCAGATTCCTTCCTGATCCTAGTTCTAGGCCTGGGTCTGGATTGAACCTATTTTGGGTGGAATCCTGCGCATGTTTAGGCAGCGAAAAAGGCCTGCACTGCCAGAATTCCAAAGCCGGCCTTAGGCTTGGCTGTCTGGGCATGTGTAGGATTGCACCTTGGAAATGCCGACCTCTTGCCATAGCGTCTGAGCTGCGGTGCTTGTGCTTGCAGGGTGATTCCGGAGGGCCCCTCGTGTGCCAGAGGCAGGACGGTGCCTGGGAGCTGGTGGGCATTGTGTCCTGGGGCAGCGGCCGGTGCTCCGTCTCCCTCCCAGCCATTTATGCTCGCGTCAGCCAGCTCCGTGACTGGGCGGTGGGAGTCATGGCCAACAACTAGGCTTAGGGGTCAGGGGAAAATAAAGTCTGTTGCTCCTTCCCAAGTTCTCCTGTTTCCTGTCATTCCTGCCACAATCCCAGGGTTGGCTGCACAGCGTCTTTAAGTACAGAGACTTAAAGTAGTCTTTTACTTTGCGAAGTAGTAAGCATTGCCGTGATGCGTGGCTCAGGGCCTGGTGGCCTGGAGGAGCGTCTCCTTCCAGATGTGCCTCCCGCCCCTTGAGAGCTGGAGCAGACGCCCTTCTCTGGGTGCCCTCCCTGGAGGAGAGGAGGAGGGTGACCACCTACCCGGGGAAGGGCCTTCTCTGTGGTGGCGCCCCAATTGTGGAATTCGCTCCCCAGAGGGGTTCGCCTGGCACCGTCACTTTATTCTTTTCAGTGCCAGGCCAAAACCTTTTTCTTTTCCCAATGACTGTTTTAACTGGGGTTGAATTTTTAAGTCACTGTGTTTAAAATTTTTTACATTTTGTATTGTTAAACTGTCCCGAGACTTCAGTAATGGGACAGTCTAGAAAAGCTCTAAATGAATGAATGAATGAATGTGTGCACAGACATATCAGATGGTTTTAATCAACAATAAAACAATACTGGGACTTGTTAGAAACTTTTATCAGGTGCTGACCAATGGCCGGGAGCAAAGGAAAGTCTCCCGGTGCTGAGAAGGCAACGGTGTTGGCACCAGGCAGGCCTCACTGTGGAAAGTGCTCTGCAATCAGGGCTGTGGGGCCGCCACGAAGAAGGCTCTGCCCTTCATTGCCAGCCTCCAAGCTTCCCTTGAGGAAGGGCATCAGGTCAAGCAGGCCATGCATGGGCGTTCTCATTTTAAATGTCTTAAATACACACTCTGGGCTTGGTACAGGATCCGACCTCTGCCAGAGGAAGGACTCTGTTCTTGTGATGTCCCCACATTCACGCTTGAGGAGTTCCTCCAAGACGAATCCCTGCTCACCACATTTAGCGGGGTCTCTCTACTCTCTGTGCGGCATCTGAGGCAGATGAAAGGGGCTGTCAGGTAGAGGAGTGAACGAAAAGCCCATTTCCCGAGCTCATTTCCCAGCATCAACCTGAATCTGTCCCTCTGGACCCTTCTGCTGTCAATATTTTGAAGTTCCATTTAAAAAAAAATCAAACTGCTGTTTGTTCTGAGAGCTTTGGAAGTGTTGCAAGTTCTAATTGTAATTCACCTTGAAAGGCAACTTGCAAAGCTATAAATAAATAGAATAAACATGACCCGGAGGGCAGCGCAGTGTGAAAAGCCATCTCAGTGGTTTCATCTTCCACGGAGGCCCTTCTCCCTGAGTCTCAATGCACATTTGGGTAGCCCCTTTCTTTCCACTGCCCTCCACAGCGAAGCCTTTTTTCCAAAACTGGAAAAGCTCACCACTAGATAGGTATTCCAGAAATAGCGTTTGGAAAACATTCAGACACTTTGCAGATGTGGAAGAGTTGTATTCCATCCCCAACTTCTTCCTTGGGGACTCTCGCCTCTCGCCAGCCGCATCAGCCGGGAAGCTGTGGCTTCCACCTTCCAGCACAGGAAGGACGGTTTCCCGGGGCTCCCAAGTGAAATGAGCTTGGTGGTGCCATCAGAGAGATCCGCCCCGCCGCTTTTGATTCCTGAACATTTTTGCAGTGTCTCTGGGGAATGGGGGCAGGAGGGTCCCGTGTGAGACGAGCGTCTTGGTGCCGCCTTGCCCGAGGGTGGGCCATGCCTGCCACCAGCCCTAGTGAGGGAGGGTCCCTTTTCCACCCGCCCCCCTCAAGAACCCCACGGCCCTGAGAGGAGCTATTTGTGGAGGGAGGAATGCTTGGAATCCTGCTGCCTCCTGCCTTTCCGAACCGCAGGCCTATCTCTGCTTCAGCAGGACAGCTGCAAACTCTGCTGGCCAGTCCTGCTTCTGGCTGGCAGGACAGCCTGTTTCTCTCCTCCGCCTGGCCGATCACAAGCAAGGAAGCAGCTAGGGCGGGCAGGGAGCCAAGCGAGCAAGGATCGCCCTGCCGATTGGAGCTTGCTTTGTGTTCTCCCATCTGCTGCCCAACCAGTGGGGCTGCGGATTTTATGGAGGTTTTATCCGTGGGCTCAGGGGAGTGGGGAAGGGGGCTTCCACCATGGCCGAGCAGGAACACAACGGAGCCCATGGGTCGGGGCAGGGAACTTGCCGTCCTTCCATATGCTGGTCTGGAACATCTGTAAAATGAAACCACAATGAGGGATGATAGGGGCTGTAGCCCAAAGCACATGGGAGGCCACACGTGCTGACCACTCCGGGCAGGGCGCAGTCCTTTAGGGTGCCCTGGCTCTGGGCGGTTTTGCCCCCTCCTAAAGATTGGCATGCCTGTCCTGAGGCAGAGTCACCAGTAGGAAGAGCCTGAAGCTAAAATACGCTCCAACATCCGTTTTGGCCCCCTCGCCTTTTGCCGCCCGCCCTGCCCACTACTGAGATGCGGCCCCAGAGGTTTCCGGGAAATGGAATTTGGCCCTTGGAGTCGCCACACCTGGTCCCAGTTCCCAGCCAAGTCTGGCTAGCTGTTCGGCAGGAAATACGTTGCATTTCCAGACCAGAGCAACTGGGCAAGAGGAAAAGAGCCCTTGGCTGAGGCCAGGGGGCCACCGAAGGCTGCCGCGCAGTCCTGGGGGCTTTCTCCCGCAATCGCCTTTCTTCACAGCCCCAAGTTTACGGGGGTGCAAGTGAAACCTCCTTCCATTCACAACGAGCTTGCATTTTCCCCACTGCTTCTTCCACTTTCTGAATGGAGGAAAAAATAAAAATAAAAAAGCTGCAAGGAAACGGTGGAACAGAGGGTTTTGCGGAGAGCCTCTGCTGAGAAGTGTCCTTTTGCTGAGACCTGATGCCACCAACGCTGGAAGCCAGTTTGGAAGGAAAAGAGTCTTTGTACTTCCATGAGGATGCCCCCCCAAGGGGGGGGGGCACAGAGCAAAGTCCCCTCCCTGAAAGGGGGCTCAGGTGCCCCCCACACAGGGCTTTGAGTCCAACTGCAATGGCTTCAGAGAGGTGCTCCTTATATTTCTGCCCCAGCTTTCTTCCTCTTGCACAGAACCCAAGGTGTCTTCATTGCATTTTATCCTCACAACCGCCCTGCGAGGTAGGTGAGGCTGAGAGTGAGTGGCTGGCCCAGTCACCCAGTGGGCTTCCCAGCTACGTGGGGCTAGAACCCAGATCTCCTGAGTCCCAGTCCAATGCTCCCAGCCCCAGCCACACCAGCTTGGCCATGAGCCAAGGTCTTATCATGAAGGTCACCTACTGCAGCTAAGGGGATCCAGATCTGGCCAGTATCTGGATGGAAGACCACTGGGAAGCCCCCTCATGTCCATCACCTAAGTTCCACACCGGAAAAAGGTGGGATAAAAACCTGTAACACAAATCAAATGCAGCGCGGCTCCGGGAAGGCGGAAGATGCGGTTGGAGACACCACGAGCAATGCCTCTTCCACTTGTCGCTTTCCAGTTGTTCTGACCTACACTTCCCATCATCCTTTGCCAGGGGCTATGCCCGCTAGCACTGATGGGAATTGCCAGCCCCCGTTTCTGGAGGGCTATGGATTGCTCACCCCCTTTTTAAGACCACAACTTGTGCAGCGTTGCCCTTCGCACGCTGGTCTCCGGAGAAACGCTCTTTGCCACGAGGACGAGGGCGGCTGGATCCGGCTCGGAGCCCCCGAAAGGGATGCCTTCCCATCACGGCTCTCGTGAGGGACTTCTGCCCTCACCACACCGGGCCATTCTCTTCTTATCGGAAAAAGCCATTGTTGAACAGCGCATGGCCTTTCCTGTTCGGTTTTTTTCCTTCCGTTTCACACAAGGACCCTTTTGATTAGCCAGCCAGTTTGGCCTGCAGAATGCAGCAGAAGCCGTCCCGGACAGGGGGGACCGGGGCGCTGGGGCTCCCCTCCTGACCCATCAGCTTCACCCTCAACCAGCTCTCCCCATGCAAAACAGGCCTGGCGCACCGTCGTTTCCTCTGCAAACCGGCTTGTGCCAAAGGCAGGCCTGCAAAGAGGCCACGACATGCCTTGGCATAGCCCCCC